CCCTTCTGCCTTCTGGCCCTTGTCACTGGACTACTGTACCTCGTTAGTCTCATTTGCAAACCAATTATCCTTAAGCTTCAATTTCAACAATGTAAGTGCTCTTGTATACCACTTGTTATCATTTACTGTGTTCAGTGTATCACAGGAGTCCACAGTGAAATGCTCTCAGAAGGTGGACACAAGATTACTCCTGGAGGGCAGTATTGCCTAATGGTTAAGAGCTCAGGCTCTGGAGTCAAAATGATTTAGGTTCGAATCCTGTTGTCACAACTTACTAACTGTGTGCTCCTGGAAAATTTACTTACCACACAAAGCCTTGGCTTTCTCATCTGTAAAATGGGGCTAATTAATAGTATAACCTCAGAGGGTTATTATGAGAATGAAGTGAGCTAATGAATGTAAAGCACTCATCACTGTGCCTTATACATTGTGAGTGCTCAGTAAACATTAATTGTTGTTACCATAGCTGTTGTTGGTAATAAAATCCACACATCATGGATGAGATTGGCTGGAAGTCACCTTAGAGGTCAAGATGTCTCTAGATCAAAGCTGGAAGGACCAGAATCATGAGTCTAGGTCATGACTGAAGAATGAAGGAAGCCAGAGCTTCACCAATGGTGTCGATGTGTCTGAAGAAACAGGTGAAGGTTGGATCTGGAGTCTAGAAAATAGAGGATCAGTGAATAGGAACTTGGCGTGTCTCTAACATTATTCAGCAAGGGAGAGCTGAGCATTTCTGGTTGCTGGAGTAGACAGGAATTTTCCCTCTAGGCCCTGACTTCGCTGAGCCCATGGTCACAAAGCCTTCCTACTATAGCAGATTCAGCTTCTCAAGAACCATATTACTTGGAAGACTGAATTAGAGGGAGGGCATGTACATTTTAGCTGCTGAAGAGGATGATGACGTACACTATAGTTACTCTCATTTATTCTTCAACCTCTTGTGAGTTAAGGCATTTAGAATTTGTCCCCAAAACACTAATTGATACTGGGGTATAGATAAAATAGAATTTCTGGACCCCCACAGTTGAACCCTAGTTCCTGTCCTAGAATGATCACCCACCTTCCTCTCACCAATGCACACACATGAGGTACAGTCTCCAAGAGGCCCTGTCAGTCTTGTTCAATGCTATCTTTGGGTTGTCTCATCCCATCTTCATTCCTTCCACCCATTTTCATTTTTGTTATTCTTTTTGGACTTTGGGGGTTTGGTTTTATTAAAAAAACTGCATGGTATCTCTGAAGATTGCATAATAATTTTTCAAAGTGAGAGATTATTTTTATAAAAAAGAATCCATGTAATAACTCATGCAAATCAGATGTCCCAAAATATAAG